TATTGTATGATATTAAATTATGATGAAACCAAACTTTATACAGGTGAAAATGATTCAATAAGTGTTTTGGATGTTGATTTTCAAAATTAGAAATTAGATTTTAATTAAAGTTTGCCAGCTAAGAAAATTTATAGTATAAGTTTAAATGAAGAAGAAACATTTTTGGCTACTTGTTGTGTTGATAAATCAATACATTTATGGGAAATAAAATGCAAAACTATAGAACTATATTAAATTATTAAAACACATTAACTTGGATATAATTTATGCTTTATCAAACATACTTAATTTATTTGGTTACCTGCAGAACAACATAAAATAAACTGTATCTATGTATATGATTTATAAAATGGTGAATTTTAATTGCAAGAAGATAAAATAATTCATTTACTATAAGATGATACTTGTTTTGATAGTTTCTTATTCCCAATAGTAATTAATAAAGAAAGAAACATTATTGCAGTTAGACATAAAGTTACTGTATATTTGATACAAGTATTTTAAAATGGTAAATATAAAATTATAACTCATAAAAATTTAAAAACAGATGAAATTTATGGAACAATGACAAATAATGGAACTGCATTAATTTTATGGGATAATTTAAGTAGGAAATATTAGATATTTGATATTGAAATCTAATGATAATAATTTATCAATTAATGATAAATATTTATAAATAATTATAATAATCAATCATTTTATTAATATTCATTCTAATAAAAAAGAATTATAAATAAGATATTTCTAAAGTTGACTATCAAATTATAAATGGAAAACTCTTATTTAATGAAGGTAGATAATATAAAATAGTAAAAAGAATATGAAATAATTCTAATAAAATAAGTTAGTCATATTTTTAATATTTTATAATTAATTTTTTTATAATTATTTGAAATTGTATATAATTGAAAATATTTCTTAATAGAATTTTGTAATAGATTAAGCTTAATTGTATTGATTAAAGGCTTAAAATAATATAAAATCATGCTTTAAAATGAAAACTCAAGACAAGTAGTATTAATTGGGTATATTGGCCATGGTAAAACAACTCTTTTTAATAAAATTTGTTAGAAAAAATAACCTGTATAATTTGGTGGACCATCTGTTACTAGAGAATCAGTTCTTAGTTAAAGCGCTTATGGAGAAGGTTTTAATTTGATTGATACTCCTGGTTTAGGGACAGATAAAGATAAATTGGCTCATGTAATTTGCATTGCTACAGCCCTAACATTTGGATTAATACATCAAATTTTAATAGTTGTTTAGTTAGAAAGGCTAGCAACAATGAAAGAGAGGTTAAGACCGATGATATAATAGTAATTTAAAAGATTCAAAGATATCATCACAGTTGTTGTTACTCATTGGGATAAAGCAGAAGAACCAGAAAAAAGAAAATAAGAATTAATTGATTTAATTAAAGGGTATAATGTTAAGTCTATGATTTTCGTATCAAAAGAAACATCTGGAAAAGATTTATGTTAAATGATTGATGTTACTCTTTAGAATTGTGATTAACAAGGAAAAATTTGTTAATTATACTTTATGAAAATCATTATTAATTTTATTAGAATTAAAATGTTGAAAACTTGAATTTTTTATTAATTTCCAATATCATAAGCTGAGATATAATCTCATTTTGATATTATTGATTTAACAGATGATGTAATTGATTAACTCAATAACGCAAAGGGTTAAGTTAGTGTTAAATTTGATAAAACTGCAAAAGCAATTAAAGGTTTTATTAAAAACTTTTCAGATACTGATCCAACAATGCCTGAAGTTATGCATTAATTAACATTAGCTATAAAAGATTATGCTGATGAAACAATTTTAAAATTTTAAAAAGATAATATGGATCTATTTAATGATTTATATTCAAGATTAGAGGATGATAAATTAGTTTATTTAATAGATGCTTAATTAAAATAAGAATTAATAATTTAAGTAAATGGGTTGGTTTCTCTTGCTTAAGAAAAGATGAAAATTTCCAAATAGCAATGTTTTAATTATATTAAACAGTGTCCCTATTGTGGGGAGATTTGGATGAAAGTCTATGGTTGTAATGAAGAAACCTTTTGTGGGAAATTGCCTGAAAATGAAGATTAACATTTCAAATAATCAAAGATTCCTAGAAGATTTCAATTTTAATTTTAGGAATCTGGAGTCATTTATAATGATTTGTAAATTTAATTTTCAGAAGTAGATAAAAGTGATTTACTTTATAATTAACTTGAGTTTTTTAGAAGTAATAACTAAGATAGGTAAAGAGAGCAATTTTTTGAAATGTAAAGGCAATCTATTTATAATCCTTTAGAAAATGCACATCCTTTTGAAATTTTAAAGGGACTTATTAGCAATCGATCAGAACAAATACAACCAAGACCTATACAACAAAGAAATATGTAACCAAGACTTATACCACCAAGACATATACCATCAGTCTTAAAAAATAATTTTCAATTTATATATTAGGATCATTCAATTTTTGAAAGAAAAGGTAAGATTGGTTGTGGTAAATCATTTATATGGCGTGAATTAAAACCTCTATCCTAAGAATAGTTAAAGGAATTGTTAGATCCAGGTGTGTTAGATTATTTGGCGAATGTAGTAAATGAAGAGAAATAGGCTAAATAGATTGAATTAGCAACAAAAATTGAAAGTCTAATGAAAACCAGCAAAGTAGTTATTCTAGAATGAATTGATATTAAGTGAATCATTATAATATTACATTAATTATAATCTAATATTATTTTCTCTTAATTATTTATTCTTAATAGAATTAATAACATATTATTATCTTGAATTCAATTTTTTTATATTTATTATGTAGCAACTTATTATATTTCTAGGTAATTAAGGTTCTGAAAAGGATTAGTTATTTTAACTATTGCCCTTTGAATAACAAGAGATTGTATTTGAAAAATTGATAATAAAAGAAAGAATAGATTAAGGTGAGTAAAAACTTATATTTATAAACTTTCCAGAAGAAAATGAAATAACTTAAGCAATAAATTCTCTATTAGCTTTATCAAAGTATTTTATAATTAGATAGATTATCATTTGTTTACATTTTGTTCAATCGCTTCCTCAGAGAATTCAATATATATAAAAAAAGTTTAATGAAGCATTAAATTAAGAAGTAGAAAACGTTTATACGTTTTTTATCAGTGATTCTCCTTAGATTTCTTATGATAATAGATTATATTAATTTTCTAAAATTGATGAATCAAATAAACAAAGTTTTATTAGAATACTTGAAGAAGTTAGCACTCCTTAATATAAACGTAATTCTTAAATCTGCTAAACTTATTTATAGCAATCAGTATTAAATTAATAAGAATAATTACAAAAAAGGGTAAATAATTTGAATAAAAAATTTCAACAAGAATACTTATCCACTTATTTAGAGACTAATCTTGAGAGTAAGGTATAAACACTCTTATCCAATGAAATATAACCATTTAATATAGAAATATTGGATAAAAATATCAAATAAAATTAAATCGCTCTCTATAGTGAGGCCATATATATACTTTGTAATAATGAATAAGATTATTCGTAATAATTCAATAAATTTAGGGGAACATGGTTTAAAAATTTTTAATTTTGTACTAAGTGCAAAATATTATACTAAAAATAGGACAATAAATCCATAATATATTAATTATAATTATTCTCATTAGATCAAAATAGTATTGATATTGAAATACCAAAAAAATTTATTAATTGTAAAGAATAGTGCTATCTTTCATAAAGGTAAACTTATTTCATACCATTTTTATTTAAAATCTATATTTTTAAATACATTAAAAATAACTTGAAAATGAACGAACGATTTTTAGTGGAAACTACTAAAAAATAATTAACTTAAGAAAGAATATTTAATAAAAAAAATAAAAGAGATTGCATTGCTATTTTACTTTTAAGCAATGAAGATGGTCTAAAATAATCAGTGATGCAATAAGTGTATGATCGTAAAAATTACAAAGAAAGCAATCAATTTAAGGAATTGTAAATATTAAACGATTACTTTTATCTTATAGATTCTCCAATATTTTAATTTGATGAAGATTCAGAATAATTAGAATCAATTTACTCAAATTATTTAAATAGTAATCCAATTCATTATATTATATTTTGTGTTAAATTGTAAAGATCAAGTTTAATAAAAGAGAGACTATTATCAATGTCAAAGAAATTTCCAAAAATTAATAAATAATTATTTGGTGCATTCATAATTGATTAAATGAATGATGTATCAATATTTTCTGAACATGAAACAATTAATTGCATCAAAGATTTAATGCCTTCGACTACTCTAATATAAAATAGTAATACTAGTGAAGATGTTATAGAAAAAATCTCAGATTTTATAAAAAATGTTGATCAAACACAACCACTCTCATTTGAACAAACTATTTTTTGCAAACAAGGCAATGAATCAAATAGGGAATAAATTGAAAATTCTCTAATGTTAATGTCATAAAATATATCAGATCAATTTATATAAAATTGTCACCAAGAAATAAAGGATGAAGAATTAAAACAAGAGAATCTACAGTTGTAAAAACAACAATTTAAATAACAAATTTCTAATGTGAAAAATGAGTTTTAAGAAAAAAAAATACAACTAAAAAATCTTATATGTTAAATTGAATAAGAGATTAAAGAATAAGAATAAATTTGCAGAGAAAATGTAAAAAATTTGGAAGATTAGATTGTTTAAACTGACAAGGATTATAATACTTCAATGTATAATATAAGAGAGAAAAAAAGATAGCTCAATTAAATGGAATTTGAAAAAATTAAAAAGAGTTGTATTATAAATTATGGCAACACAAGAAAATATTAATGAATGAATATTCTATAAATTAACCAATTAGTTTTGATTAATATATATATGCATAAATTTTTATTAATATTATGATTATTGTGGACAATTTCATTCACAATTTTCTATAAATGTTATAAATTAAATCAATAAAATCTAACAAACATATTATTTATTAATTAAAGTTCTCTATCTTATACATTAATATTCTAGCAAGAAGATTTTAGAATTATTTAAAAATCGATCTCAAGTATATTAATTTTATTTTTATATCCAAAGTTTACATATATAAGAGTTTTATAAAAATTATAAAAACTAAAATGAATTTTCTCTAATTTATTTCAAAACATTTACGAATATTTTGTTTTATCTAAAACTATATCTAATTTTCATTTATTATGAAATTTAGTAGGGGAGCTAATTAAAATTAAATATTTGTAAAAGAAGAAGACAAATTTTAATACTGATTATCTAAATAAACTATGCATCTTCAAAATTAAATATTAATAGAAATAATTTTGATTATTACTACAGTTTATTTTTAATGAAATTCTTTTTATCTTCTTGCAAATTAAATAATTCAGAATCATATGGTTTCTAATCTTGGAGCTTGCTTTTATCAATTATTTAATAGTTTGGATTAAAATTCTTATGACAATAAAAATTTCTAACTCTAATAATAGTTTCTTTTTGCTAATTCAAATCACCTAGATCCAAATAAACTCTTGCTAAAACGATTAGTTTACATTTAATCATTTTTATTATTGAAAAGTTAATTTCAAATTTTTGTGCTTGAATAATTTTCCACTTTAACATAGTGGAAAGCTAATTTTAATGATTTGTTGAATATTTAAAAATTTTCAAAAAATTGTACTCAAGCAAATAAGAGTTTCAACTAAAAAAAATTATCTAAATATAATTTCTGAGTTATATCCATTAGATTTTATTGATATTATCTATCTTATCATACTAATATAGTCAAATTTATACTCTCATTTCTTAATAAGGACAATACCTTTAATTATGATAATAATATTTATTTTTAATCTCTGATAAAAAAATTTGTAGATATCTAATAATAATAGAGTCACATATTTTTCATTATTATTTCTGATAATGATTCAAATTCTACGATTGGTGAAATTATGCCGTAAATTGTGTAATTTTTAGCTTAGTTTTGACAAGCCTAAGTAATTTTGATAATTCTTTTCAAGTCTCACTTTTCTTAGATATTGGCCTCCAAAAATTTTTTTTTTGACTATCCCTGCCTAAATCCTATTTCTAAATAAAAAAGAAATAATAATAATAATAAATATATCTATTATGTATAAAATGAGAGCAGTTATCTTGCTCCAATGTTTATAAACTTTAAGAAATGTTCCTCACATCACTCTTTTACTTCTTTAAGACTCACTTATACTTTTAGAAGGATTTGGACACAATTCTACAAGGCCTTGCTCTTTAAAGTCTCCATTCATATTACTCAAATAAAGAGGAAATGATTTTTTGGATGAAGGGTGTAGTGAATAACTTAAATCTCAATATTTGAGAGTATAATGAGGAGAAAAAGAAATATTACTGAAATATCCAAAGAAAAATTATATTTTATTCTGGCTCAAATATCTTTGAGAATAAGAGCAATGGTCTTGAAAATTAATTTTTAATTGTAAATTTATGAACTGAAGGAGTATATAATTAATTTGACTTATAATATTAGGAAATAAAAGCAAAAAACATAAGAGACTCTTTTTTCATTTATTTAAAAAGTCTTCTCTTCATTTACCNAAATTATGAAAAAAGGAATAAAATTTGAATTTTAGAATAAATTCATTTAGACTATAATTTATACCTCTATTATAATTTTATTATAAAATTCATATGAAAAAACTAACCATGAAAAATATATGTTAAATTCAGTTATTATTCTTCGTTTTTATAGCTTCTGTTTGTTTTTAAAATCAGCTGAATAAATTCAAAGGAATTAACTCTAAGCCCTTAAAGCTATACAAGATGATCTTTAACATAAGTAATATGTTCCTTTCATAATATATAATGGTTGAATAGAAAGAACAGATAAGTTAAATATTTTGACAGATCTTTAGGTATTTAATTTTTATATATATATCCTTATAAAGAATGTTAGATTTAGATGAGAATCAATAATAAAATTTGAAGGCTAACACCTAATGTTTTTTTCCCTTTTTATATCAAATAAATCTCCTAAAGACAAATCATTTTGTTCAACCAAATTTTTATATCAATTAATTTTAGGTTTACTCTTTTTTTTTTTTAATAATAATATTTTGAAAGTAACACAATAGGATATTTTATAAGTGATTATGGTATGAGTTGGTCTTGAAGCTTAGAATGTTTTATCTAATTTTTGATCTTATGAGTTTAGTCAACATAGTGATATAGTTAATTAAATCAAACACTATGAACAAATATAATTTCCTTTGTAAGATATTTTATTTTGATTTGAAGAAATACAACATTTATTTATAGTTAAAATTAATACAAAAGAAATAGAGTTTTTTTTAAATCACATATTTTCAAGAATAAAAAGACACCTTGAGGATAAGCTTTATTTAATTATACTTTTTAAATATGGCATTCAGAATAATAATCTTTATAAACATCTCATAAATTAACCTTTTATCATTTATGAGAATTCAAAAGTTGTTATCATCCTCATCTTAAGTATGATAAAGATTTTATATACAGATTATGTACTTTTCATTTAACTTGACTCTTTATTTCCTCTAGATTCAAAAGCATTTAATTAAATAATGTTGGAGGAAATGAGATATTTGAATATACAAAATTTAATATAAAATATCAAGTGTAGTATTAAACATTATAGAGATATAAGACAAAATTACTAAACTAGAATAATATTATTGAAATAATTATCTATTAAAATAGATTAATAAATAATTAATAATAATTTTCCAAAAAGACTGTTAATTAATCATGTTATTGCAAAATAATATTAATTTCTCCAAACAATTAATTTATGTCTATATAATATCTTAATATTCCATCCAATAAATTATTTTGAAATTAAATTTTCGAACACATATAATTTTATTTAATCAAAAGAAGTTAAATCTACTATTTTCAAAAGAAAAATAATATATTTATAGATTTTGAAATAAATTAATTTAAGGATCATAATTTAAATCATTGAAGAACAAATCTTTGAAGGGAATTATTATAATATTTTTAGAGTTCTTTCAATTTTTATTTTTGTTATTTTCTTCTATAATTATCCTTAGCTGTAATGATTTAATTATATAAATCAATAATTAGATTAATAATTAACATTAATGAAATCATCCCAATATGAATCCATCCAAATAACATATATGAATCATAGCTAAGTTTAAAACTATAAATTAATAATGATCCTGTGATTAAAAGAAATAAAAATTCTCTATATTTTAACTTATTTAATTCACAAGAAGATTTTAATGGTTTATACTTAATCAAATATATAAGATAATAGAATGACTACATGGAAAGTAATATAGATTATACTTCTGGGTATTCTATAAATTTAACTATAATCAATATGTAGAATAATATTCTATAAATGAAAAATGGTTTACAATTGACAGCCCAAAATTACATTTTTGAATCATTATAAAAATATTTCCATCTTTATTTATCTTTTATATTGGAAGATGTGATTGATAATAATTATAAGCTTGTTATAGAAATAAATAGTAAACTAAAAATGGCATTAAGGCTATTGAATATTTACAAAGGTGTATCAAATTAATAGTATGGAAATTGTAATAATGAACTAAAACAGTATTGATGAAGGATTGCTTAATAGACATTAAAGATTCCTATTGAAAAATATTCATTCTTTAATTTAAAAGTCAATAATTACACTTTCTTTTAAAATAATATTATAAGTTTAAGAAATCTTCCATTTTCTTCGTATTTTTAGTAAAAAATAAAGATTATTTTATTTAATCTATTTGAAGATATAATGCAACAAGTGAAATATATGAAAATTGAAGCAATGGTAGAAAAATAACAACTTTTTGCATTCAACAAAAAAAATTGATTTAATGCATTAGATTAATCTTATTTTTATTTATTTTAATCTTGAAATGGTAATGTTCCACCATTTAATTTCATGAATAATTCATTTATTTTGAAATGATCTAAGATTGGTTAAAGTGAAACCTTAGAATATGTATTTAAAAATTCTATTAAATGAGGTGGAAATTGATATTACATATATCTTAAATAAGATAATGATTATAATAATTCTAAGAGATTAACAAAAATGATTGTATTTCCTGTGACAGTAGCTAAAATTGAAATGCCTACCAAAGAATACATTATAGCTTCATTCATTTTAACAACAGATCCAAGCTTAGCCTAAGTACTTTCAGTTAAAACAAAGGGATTTCCTAGATTTATTGTCATTTAGTATTTCTATAGATTTAAATCAAATTCATTTAGAATAATTGATTTGGCTAATTCAATTTAAAAAATAGGATTTTAAACAGGTTCAATAAAAGTAATGATAATTTGATAAATTGGATAATTTAGAGAAGTAGATAAATTCTATATTGGATTAATAATTAACTTATAATTACTAGGAGGTGTAATATTATAAATAGCTAGATCTTCAAATAAGGTATAAGTTTATAATTTAATTTATTAAGAGAAAGTGAGTTCAACAATTTAAGTTGAGTTTATTGAGTTTGAGAGAACTTTTAAAAAGAAATTAGGAGGTTGAATATATGTACATTAACTTAATAAGCCTACTTTATTTTAACATTGATAGGAATCTTCAATAGTACAAGTATATGAACATCCATCTCCTCCTTGATAATTACCATCATCACATATCTCATATTCAGTATTTAAAATACCATTACCACATTAATTAATACAAATATTATCAATTAGAATTTAATTTACATTACATCTAATTTATGTTATTTAATCAATAAATAAAATTGAATTATCAGTTTCAATTATATTATTTAATTTATGATTAATAAGACATTTATTAGTTTAAATATCCAATATAAATTAATCATCATCACATTTAATACATTAATTAAATTATTCACATTCAATACAACCATAAGAACATTAATATTAGCATTAATAACAACCATCAAAAGGTATATCATTACCATCTTCACATTATTCAAGGCCAGGTATGATAATTCCATCACCACAAATAGGAATACAAAAGGAATTACTTAATTAAAAATATTGTTCACACATAAGACATATATTTTGATCCTAACATTAGGTACAATAATCAGAACAATTATATTTATTATCAACTTAATATTATTCATCAATAATTAATTATTGCATTTCACTACATACTCCTAATATACATTTTAAACATTATGGAATACAGGAATATTAACAGAAATGACATCCATCATATGGTTCTAAATTAGCATCATCACAAACTTCAGGATATACAATAATTTAATCACCACAAATAGGTTTGCATCGATATTATTCTCTAATATATCCAAATTCACAAAGTTCACATATACCATTAGTACAGATTATACATCCATATCCACAATTATATCTACAACTTAAACAATTTGAATCAATAGATTATATTAAATCATCACATTATTCATTACTTACTATCAATCCATCTCCACAACTTTCTTCACACATATTATTTCTAAGATAATAACCTAATTCACATTATAGACATTCATTAAAATCACAAAGCAAACATTTACTATTACATTTAAAATTACAATATTAACATGAATTCATAATATCTGAAGATGAATCTTCACATTATTCATTACCTACAATTATAGAATCACCACAAATTGATAAACACTTTTTTATTTAATTATGATATATAAATCCTGTTTCACAATTTTAACATATTCCATTTTCACAACTAATACAATGATCTGAACATGATAAATTACAATTATCACATAGATCAAATGGATATTAGTTACTATCATCACATTACTTATACTATTTAGTAATTATTCCATCTCCACAAATATATTAACAATGATTAAAATTATTTAAATACCATCCATTTATTTCATCACATTTCAAACAATTACCATTAATACAATTGATACAATTAATATCACAAATCAATTTACAATAATGACATCCATCTTAAATATTATCATTTCCATCATCACATTATTCATTTCCTTAAATAATCTTATCTCCACATGTTGTTAAACATTTATAAGTAGTTTGATCATAAGTATATCCATCTTTACATTAATAACATTTACCTTAATGGCAATTTAAACATTCATCCTGACATTTGAATCTACAATGATCACATCCATCAAATGGATTATTCTTACCATCATCACAATCTTCCCCTTCTACAATTAATTCATCTCCACATAATGGCAAACACTCTAAATTATAACCATCATCATAATATCCAATTACACATTAACATTAATAATTATTAACTGATCTATGAAAATCTGAATTACAAGTATAACATTAATCTTAATTAGATCAAAAACAACTTTCACAATATCGATTACATTCTTAAATATATAATTAATAAATAATTACTTATACATTCATTACTTTATAAATATGCTGATGGATAACATATACATTCTCCTTAATCTAAATAGAATTATTTTTAATCTGAAAATTCGCATCTTTTACAAACAGATGCACTTTAACATTCAATACATCCTAATTGATTACATTATTTGCAAATGTATATTTATGTATCACTATTAAATTCAAGATATTCATTAATAGAACAATAATTTATAGAATTCTATCCAGAATATGAAGATGTACAATCATCTATTAATGGTCCTGTGCATGAAGTACAAAAAGGTACACACTAATTATAATCATAATCTCATACATAATGAACTACAACAAAATATTCTGAAATATATATAAATGCTTCATCAAGTTAAGGTTCATTAGTATTAGCTGATAATACAATATCTAATTGATCAGAACTATGAAGTAAATGGGTATCTATTAAAATAGTAGTCTCATCTTTCTAATCTCCTACTAAATTTTTAGTGCCTGTCTTTGGATTATAAATTTTATTTTATTCTTATGAATCTAATTTCAATTAAAACCAACCATTATTATTATCTCCATATGTAATATTCATTCTTATACTCACTTTATAATGTGGTTTTAAAGATGTAAATGTTTTTTTAAATTTTCCTTTACTCCATACTAAAACTCCTCCTAAAACTGATTTTTCAGGAACAAAAGAATAAAATGCTCCTGTAAATGATTATTAAATAATGTCATTTAAATCTGTGAAATTATCAACAACCTTAGACACTTCCTCAAATGTAGTGTTCATATCATAAAATGCTTTTATTAAGTATCTACTATCTAAATATTTATCATATATTTTTACTATCAATTAGATCCTCATAATCTATACATTCATCATTATTCACCTACGAATACATAGGACATTATAAAACACAAGATCCCCTATATAATTTATAATTTGATTCACATATTAAACATTTACTAAAGGATTTACATTTTGTACAATTACTTTAACATAATCCATAATCAATAGTCACATTTTTAAAACTCCAATATTCATTATATTATTTTTGAATTGCCTAAAATTATATAACTGGAGTTGTTGTATAAGTTTTTAAAACAGTTTCAATTCTTAAATAATCATATTCCTCACCTGAGCAACTTGAACTTTCAAATTTATTTAATCTTCCATTATATACAGTATAATTATTCAGAGTCTTCTCTATTCTCATTTGAGAATATTTATCTACTATGACACTTAACACAGAATCAGTTTGCCAACCAAAAAAGTAAAAAGATACTCTGATTCTTAAATAATTTAATCCTTCATGTTATGGTAATCTCAATTTCATCGATTCATAATAACTAAATTTTCCAACTTAATCTTCTCCTTAACATGAGAATATTTTGTTAGAATTATTGATATGAAATGGATCTGGAACATAAATCCATGGATCATAAGGTATCAAATTTGCATTATCTATTTATGAATGAGGAAAGTATATGAACTTCGATTTAATTCCTAATTCAAATATTTATAAAATACGTTTGTCAAATTAACAATAATTAGATTCATCTGCTAAATAGTAATCTCTTGGACATTCAAATACACAACCTTTTAATAAATGGATATATTTATTAGACTCTTCACATTAACAACTACCTCCTTCTTGAGATCCATAATAACATGTCAAAAAATCATTTTTTGTGTTTCCACTACATGATGCACATGAAATATGGCATGAATTTACATAAATTAAAATGTTTCTTAAACCTATATGCATATATTGATTTTAAGGTTAAAAACAATATTAAATATTAAAGAGAGGGTTATTATGATCTATTGCATTGATAATATGAGTCATGATTTCAATCTTATCCTCATTTAAAGAACCACAATTTCCACTACATCTTTACCTACACACATTGTCATATTCTTATAACGAAGACTCTTGATATTATCTAGTAAATAACTTAGTTACCTGAGTGGAATCTTTTATTTATATATTAAAATGGGATTCCTCTCCATATTTTGAGCGAATATATATAACATCTGTTATTATTCTAAGTTAAAAGTGTGGATAATTAAATTCTTTTTTTATTCTTTCTGCATCTTCCCTTAGTCTTATAAAATCTAGTCTATTAGTCTGACACTAATTTATAGAATGTGTATTTGTCAAATCATTTGTGCAACTTTTTAAAGTTTCCCAATTTGAAGTTGTGTCTATCTATTCTTAATAAAAATCACTTGAAATTAGTCTCCATTCTGAAAAAGCCATTAAAAAGAAAATAATCAAGAAGAAAAGCATTTAGAAGTGAAAAATAAGTTAAATATTAATTATCTTAACCACATATTAATTTTAAAGTGCAAATTTAATGTATGTAGAATAATATAAAATACCATAATAATTAAATAGAACATAAGAAGGATTTCAAATAATTTTTAATTTCTAAATATCAATATAAATTCTATTTGTCTTTGTTAAAGTACAAATATATTATTTATAACATCAGAATAAATTTAAAATTAAAGGAATAAAATATGAGATGAATTAAATAAAGTTTATTCTTAATTTATAAATATATATAAAATATACGAAAAATCAATTGATATTTTTTAATACTCATTTAGAAATCTTTCTTTATTTTTGATTTAATATTGAAATGATATTCTTTTTTAATTTTTACTATTTTTTTATCTTCAATAAAGCATAAAATATTATAATATGTATTATTTAGAATCATAAACTAAATTTGAAATCTAATATCAAGGCTATTTCGAAATTTCTAATTACCCAATTATAATTAATTATTAGCATATTAATATTAACTTAGGGATATCATAGATTAAATTAAAATTATTATCAAAATAAATACGATAAACAATATAATTTACAATTTATTTCATTAGTTTAGATAAATATTATTATTATTAGGATGTATAAAATTTCTATTTATTATTATTATGAATAATAGAAGAAATAAAATAAGTGGAATAAATCTTTATATGATTAATTTATTTTGAATTTTATAAGCTAATTTAGTCAGAAACCTTTTGAAATAGAAGTCATCATGAATGAAAAGAAATAAGTTTAAAATACTATTCCTAAATTAGATTCATCATGATATAATAGTTTTTAAAGTCAACTAATATCATGAAAAATTATATATATTGATTGATGTTATTATTACGCTCTAATTTATTTTGAATTATGGTTTATATCAGAATATAGTAAATTTAATCCCTTTTATAATTAAGAATTTTTTGGCAAAATGAAGGAATTTCTGATTTACAATAACCTAATTAAGAGTACAAGAATATTTCAAAATAGAAACTAAATTATTCAAAAACCCCATTCTGAAAGCTACAAACATAAATTATACTGGATCGCTTATAATATGTTTAAATTATGGTTCTCTAATATTATTCTCAAAATTAATATTCTTACATGAAATCTTGATAAACCTTTAATTATATTACTTAATTAATGCATAATTACATTCCATTAATCATGATAGAAAATACAAATTATGATATAAATTAAATAATATAGACAACTTTATTAATTGGAAATATGTAAATGTCAAACAATTAATTAAGTATTTATGTTAAATCACCTAAAATATATGAATATGAATCTAGTTTTCAATAAAAGTCATTATCAACAAATTTGATTAAATATAGAATACAATAAGAAATTAATAATAAATATCTTTTTAGTTTTTAGAACAAAAAATAAAAACATAATTAAAAAACAATAATTATTTTAAAAAAAAAATTATTAATTATCCCCTTTAAAATCAATCAACCATAATTTACAAATATATTTAGAAACCTAAAAGCACTATTTTAAACTAGTAATTGGAACCTAATTTTATCATAAATAGTATAATAAGATTAAATAAAATAAATAATCATATCAAATTTATCACTAACATAAAATACTCAATTTCAACCAAACCCATATTTATAATTATTATTATTATTCATTTATCAGAATTTATTTAGCTATATATTTTATTATTTTGAATATTTATTTTTTACCATATCCCAACTCTTTTACCATTATTATACTCCCCATTTATAGTGATTTATAAATCACATTTAAACTCATCACTCAACTCAATCCATCTCCCAATTTTCATTGAACCTTCTTCATCATAAAAACCACCACCACTAAAAATAGATTAACTATAATATTACATTTCTTTATAATTATTTGTTTCCCAATATTTATACCAAATACTCCATTAACCAATTCTTTTACCAATTTAATATTCACCAGAACAAGTTACCTAACAGAATTCCTAAAATCCGTCACTCAACTCAATCCATTTCCCAATTTTATTTTAATCTTCTTAGTCATATGATCCACCACCACTTATAATTTTATTAAATATATACATCATGTAATTTTATTTACCTACAATATGTTTTTTAAACCATATATCCCATAAACCAATTTTTTTTCCATTTTTATATTCTCCTTCATATGTTACTTATGAATGATTATAAAATCCATCCCCTAATTCTATCCATTTGCCATTTTTTTAGCCTGACTAATTGTATGATCCACCTCCGCTAATCAGTTTATTTATATCGAATACATTTTCTTATCATCAAAAAAATATATCCATTCACCATTTTTTTAACCTTTAAAATATTATCCCCTTTCCTAAATTTGAGCTAGTCTATATTAATTTAATTTTCTCTTACTTACATCCAAAAATTCTTATTTAATTCATTCCAAATTCCTTACTTTAATCCATTCTGATAGTAACCGCCAACTCTTCTCAAAGGCTTCCCTCTCCAAATAACTCTCCAATATCCATTTTTCCTATTATTCTCTCCATATTCGCCTTACCATTGAGCATATTTGATTTATTCCATATTTGTCAATAATTCTTAATTTTCAATAGAGTCATTGACTTATTCACTTTTATATTTTTATTATTCTATTACATCCTTAAAATTACTCCCTCCTATGAATAAACAATTTTATTATCTTATGTAAATGTTATTTCAATTGTAATTTTTACTAATTTCTTTTTGATCTCATCCCACTTCAAAATTTCTAATAACTTAATATCATGTTTCTAAATTGATTACTCTTAGCAAATTAATGTGTTTAAATTTTAGAAGTTCATCTATTAACAATATTAATTGTTCTAATTTTAGAAAACTTCCTAAAATTATAATATTTGTAATATTCTAATTTTCATTCTTTGCATTCCTATAGAAAATGAAGATATTTATATATTGATATATAACAATTTAATGCTTTATTATTTTTGCAATTTTCTTTTAAGTAACATTAATTTTATCAAATAACTATTGATTATTACAATTATAAAATCTATATATTGAATTCAAACACTATCAAAACATAAAGATATCTAATACTATAAATTATTAATTAGAACATTTAAATATAAAGTAATAATAAGCTGCAATTTCAAAAATTGATTGGAAATATTTTATCCTTTTCATCATAATATTTCAATTTAAATTAATTATCATTAAATAAATTATTTCTGTAATCATAAATTTATTTGAGAATGCGTTATATTATTAGAAAATCAACTCTAAAATTTCTAAGACTTATAAGTTTAAATAACGTATTTTAATTTTTCAATAATACATTTGATTTAATAAGCATCATTAATTTATTTTCTTTAATTTATTTTCCTATTTATAACTATCTATTAAAATCAAATGGTAATTAAATTTTCGCCGTTAATGAATGAACATATAATTTTATATATTATTAGTTATTATCAAAAATCAATATTTATTTGGTTATAAAAAATGATTTATACAATTTTTAACAGGAATCAATATTTTTTCAATTTACTAATATGTAAAATTTTGTTAATAGATAGTTGAAGTTTATATAATCTATTATGATTGAAATTATTAATATTTAGAAAATAATTAAAGAAATTATTAAATATAATATATGATAAAAACAATTGAATTGTTTTTTTTATTATTTACAGCTTCTAGTCAATCATTTACATTTATTGATTAAACAAGTAAATTGATATTATAATTTATAAGGTTTTTATTAAAATTTAGAACCTGAAACTAATTTTTATAGTGAAACTGGTTATATAAAAGTATAGACAATCAATAATGGAAATAATCAATTTTTCTATCATTTATTTTTAAAAGAAGGGACAATGAGCTTAAATGAAGTTTAAGAAAGTGATAATTTTATATTATGGCTACATGGTGGTCCAGGTTATTCTTCATTAATTCAAATATTTCAAAATGTTGGACCCTTTCACATTTATAAAAGAGGAGAAAATGACTATTCTGTAAAGAAAGCATAAAATACTTGGAATAAAATAGCTCATATTATTTTTATTGATTAGCCTTTTGAAGTGGGATTGAGTTATTCCCAACCTAATATAAATGTCGAAAACTCAGAATAAGCTGCTCTTTATATAGTTGAATTTTTTCGTATATTCTTTAAGGAAAGGCAGTAATTTTAATAAATTAATTTTTATGTTTTTGGCGTAAGTTATAGTGGTCATTATGTACCAGCTATAGGAGTTGCATTAGAAGAATCAAATTTAAATATAAATTTCAAAGGAATAGGTTTTGGAAATGGTTGGACAGATGCTTTCATTTAATACTAAAGCTATGCACCATTTCTGTATAGTTTGGGAATTTATAACGAAAAAAAGAAAAGTTATACATAAGAATTAATGGCAAAGGCATAAAATTATATTCTAAATGGAGAATATCTTAAGTCAACAGAAGAAGGTTTTTTTGGCATATTTGTTATTTTAAACAAATATACAGGTCAAGTGAGTTCTCATGATTTTTAGAAGTATTTAAATGAAGGATAGAGTGAAGAATTTTATTAAGGATTTATAAATTAATATAAATAATAATTTGGGGCACCTGATGATATAATATATATTGATTGGAATAAGAACATAATTAAGAATTTTGAAGTTGATATTTCAAAATCACAAAAATTCAATTTAGAATTATTATTAAATAAAGGAAAAAAAGTGTTAATTTATTAAGGATCTAGAGACATCATTTGTAACACTCCATCTATGAATTATATAATAAATAAATTGAATTGGAAATATATATTTGATTGGAAAAAATAGCCTAAAAAGATATTTACATCTAAACGCGAAGGATTTGAATAGAATGAAACAGCAGGAACAATAAAGCTTTATAACAACTTTTATTATGCCACTTTATATAATGCTGGGCACTTTGTTTAAAATGATATACCAATAGCTACTTTAAAAATGGTAACACATTTTTTAAACGATGATTAAAATTGGAATTGATATATATTGTTATGTAAAATAAATATTTTGTTTTTTTTAATCTAATTTAAAATTTATTTATATTGCTATTCATAATCATCAAATTACATTATTTCTTTTTTGAGTATTGTATCAACTCATTTTTATCAAAGCTCTTCTTAATTTATTCTGATTCAGTGTACAAACCTACCTACATATGTTCTATAAACCATTAAATTCTATCCAGAATTCATTTATCTTTTTTAATGAAAAATAAAATTTAGAAATATGGATCAATGTTTGGAAATCATTTAAGAACTAAAGCTAAATAATTAATATATTCAAATTTTTAAGTTTAATTATCTTAATAGAATGCCTATTTGTTATTACTTTGAATTAATTTTTAAATTAATTGAATATTTAATTATCCATAATAATCATCAGATTTCAAAGATGAATTATACTTATGCTTTTTCTAAGTATTTTTATTATACCATCAAATTAGAATTAATATTAATTATTTTTATTTATTAAAATTAAATCGAAAATAGTTGAAAAATCTTAATATACAAAAAATCTAAGAATTCATCTTACTCTGAATTTTCTAAAATTGTGATCTTAAAAAAATTTATTGAATAGGAATTAATAAATATAATATTATGAAGCTAATATTAATTAAAAACCCACAAACATAATTAATGTATACTATTTTGATATTCATATTCAATATCTCTTCGAAAATGAATTTTTTTATTTGATTCAATTTCGCTTACCAATTTAGATACACATTATACTTGTCCTCATATACTAGAAATTATGTTTTCTGAATTTTATTCGAAAGAATCATTCAGTTCTACTTATTTTTCTTAAAATTTTAAATTCTCTTATTAAATTAACAATTCTTATGAATAGTTTGACTGATTCATTTTTTCAATAAAATTTGGACTTAAATATTCCTATTTTACATCATATTTTTATATTTTCCATTATGTTAAGTTTTTAATAATATCGTTATACATTTAATGACATTGTTCTAACACGATCTTATAGAAGCTTTTGATTTATCTATTTTTCAATATCTTCATCCAATACAGATGTAAAATCTTTGCTAGTAAGATTTGAAGTAGCGCTTTCTGATTATTTTAATTTTTGATGCTCCTATTTCACAGTAAGATAATAATAGTTTGTAAAATCTTTTAAACAGAGATTATGTCTTTTAATGACACTTAAATAGACTATACATTTCTTTATAAATTTATCTATTTTTCATCATTTTTTTTTGTATTAAATCCAATATTGTTCCTACTAAAATAACAGGAAAGTTTGATTGAGCTTCTGGCAAAAAATTAAAAAAAAAGTATTCATCTATCTCTATTAAGTTTTACTCCTTCATAGTTAGTGAGATCATAAACTAAAACACAACAATCTATTTCCTAATAATATTTGTGAATAGATTCTTAATAAGTTTCTTATCCAGATTATCAAGTATTATTAGTTTTACATGACCATCGATACCTTTAGTATACTCATATTTATCAAGAAGTTTTCCTTTCGTAATTTGATTTACAAGATTTGATTTACCAGCCCTAAATATTGAAAATCAAATTAATACTCTTATGAACCTATAAGAATAATTTTGAAGTCATTTTTATTCACTTGACATATGGAATTTTATTATAAATATGAATTAAAAAGTATATAATTGTTTTAATCACAATTAAAATTTTATAGATTAAATTCCAAAATTATTGATTTATTTAGAATTGTATTCTTTACTGATAGTCTTTTATAATTAATATCATAAAAATCGATGAATAAGTGTGAATCTTATACTTAAAACTAGTAAATTGAATATATTTTTAAAATTAATTTAATATTGCTAATCTTATCAATAACACGAGATTTTATTACTTGAAGATAATATATAATCTCTAATATTGAATATAAAAATATATTTTAATAGAAACTTTTTAAAACTTAGCTAATGAGTAAGATAAATATAAATATAGTCTTTTAATTATTTTCTGTATTTATAATTAGAATTTTGCACATTAATTTATTAGTATTATCGATTTTAACTCTAAGTTTAATATATTATATTTTATTTAAGATTTAAATTAAAATACTCTTATTACTCAAAATATTTATCATTGATGAAAATATCATCTTTGGATCATCATTTTTGAGTTGAATACGAATGGAAAGAGTTAAATAACAATCTTAATCTTAATCTTTTACTTATAGTTGAACCATTGTAATTACATCTTACTAATTATATTCTTTAATTTTTTGTGTTAATTAAATAAAGACTAAAAAAAGAAATTATAACTACTCTAAAAACACAAGTTATAGATATTATAACCTTGCAAGTTCGATTTGATGATTCAATTTTAAGTGTTTTTCTATTCAAATCTATGCTACTTGATAAAATTAGATTTTCTTTACATCTTAATAGGCAACCAAATAATCCATTCATTATGTTTTACTCATTACTAAATATATTTCCATTTTTATAATATTTGTTCATCAAATATAAGCTTTTAAACCTGAAATTACTTTCTGGCTATTTATAAAAAATGTCGAGTCTTACAATGAGATTTGTGCTTATAAATATATCTCAGGAAATTAATCATACAGATTCTAAATTTTTATATGCTTCCATCATTTCCATTAACAAGTAAGAACATTCTAAGTTTTATTTAAATTAACAATAATTTTAAAAGGCTTAAAAAATTAAAGCAATGTAGTACGAGCACATAGCATTATCTTCAATATAAATTTATTATAAAACAGATGGTAATCATTAAATTTAAGAGTCAATTCAATTTAAAATTAAATCTTTAATTTAATTATATTAAAATTTATATTGTTAATAAAATATTTAATATCTTTAGACTAATTATTTATCAAATCCTTGCAAAATCTTCAAATATTTCTTCTAAACTGCTATGCATTACAAAAAAATGCATTAAATGAAACACTGGATTAAGTTCCATGTTTTTCATACTTGAAGCGATTAATCTATAAATTATTATTCTTCCAAAAATCGTAAGTGGTTCTAATAGTAATTGTGATATTATTATATTTCCTACAAAGACAATTACCATTTTATATTATTCTGACTGCATTATTATTCTAAAATATTTTAATAAATACTTCAGTAAGTAAAAAACTTACATTATCAGATTGGGTGTCATCAATAATAAGATAAGAACAAGCTGGCTAACGATGGCAGCAATCTTTTTGAATCTATAGATAGCTTCAATTATTTTATAAAAAGTTCTCATTATTAAAATGATAAGAGGATTTATTATGATGAATAAACAAATGAAAAGAATTTAATTATTTAACATCTAAAATTCAAGGATTGATAGAGTTAAATATAAATTAAATTAGGAAAGTACTTCTAAAATTCGATAACTAAGTTAAATACTTTAGTCTCTATAATTAAATAGTGAAATAGTTTAATGAATTTACTAAAATAATAATTGAATTTTACCTTTAATTTTTCCTTGAACACTTTAGAATTACCTTTATATACAAAATTTCTATTCATTAAGATGTTTGGGGGACTCAAATTTCTTTATTCATTTTCAGGGCTCTCTTACTCTTCTTTATAATCTTTATATCTATAGACTACATAAACAGCCATAAAAATGAATGATAAAGAGCTAGTACAAATTTGTAAAACCAATTAATTGTCTGATGTGGAATCAACACTAAGATCAGATATTTAAATAATAGTATTGTTTACATTTGCAATACTAAAGTTTGTTGAAGATAAAAGGAAAATCTCACCAAATTTATTATATTCACAAGTTAGCTCTATAGTGTCGTTATTTTGTTCTTGTTAGAGATTACACTAATAAATTTTTCCAAAAATTGTTCGAATTACACACTAAACTTCATATTCAAATAAAAATTATGTAGTATTTGAGCAAATTTAATAGGATCCAAATTTAGTGCCATAAGAAGATGAAAAATTTTCAAAAGATATAAATCTATTATGATAAGAATTTTTCAAAGATGTTAGGTAGTATTTCTATGAGTAAATTTGTAAGGTTTAGTCATTAAATTAAGCATAGAGTAAACCTTATAGATCTGAAGTGAATCTTAAAGGATTTGTTTAAAAATAAATAGATTCAAATTAAACATACTCTACAAGGAAATCTTCTTTTGCTGGTTCTAAATCAAATTATTAATTGAATTATGATATTGTTCTTCTTTTTATTTACCAAATTATTTCATTTCCATTAATTGCAAGAGGCTTTTAGTTCACTATAATTGTATTTTAAGTTTCCTCTGAAATTAAAGACATGAACTGTTACAAATCCATAATGGCTTAATAAAGAATTTCATTTTTTACGTTTATTAATGAAAAATTAGAATAAATATCATCCAGATAGAATAATAAACTCCTTAAGCAATCTTGCGAGTTTTAATACTGTTGAAAGATTTATTCATTCCATATGTATTAATTTAATTAAATATCCTCTTCAAATTTTTTTTTTAGGTTCCTAAAATAATTTAGAGTTCTATTTAAATTCTGAGTATTTTCTTTTAAGCTTTCTATTTTTGTTGTCAAATTAACTTCAGTCTCAGTGGTATTGTTTGTAATAAAGAAATGTTTTGTGTTTTTATCAAAGCATCTTTGCTTAGGCAAATTATCTTAAGGTTTGCTTTAAATGGATTAAATTAAAAGTTATTTATATAGTTTTAGAGCCTAAAATTTCAAGATATTTTCATTTTCATCTGCTAAAATTGATTACTAAAGCATATTAAGATAAATTTAAGAATGTAGCTCATCACATTTTTAATTCAATGCTTCAAATAACAATGATATTTTTTTTTATAAATTCAAATTCTAATATTAAATAGAGGAACAATTTATTTTTGCGAAGTTTACAGTAATTTATTCAAAAATTTGAGTCATTGATCCTCCATCATCAAGTACTTAAACTAAAATTCCAATTTTTGAAGAGTCAATAGGTGAGGGAGTTTAAATTAAAAATTAATTTTAAGTTTAAAATGGATATAGAATTAAGGAATTATCTGAAGATCCTTGTTAAAAATCAGTTAAGTCTTATTCTCTCAAAAATAGTCTAAGCTAATATGTATAAGGAGAATCATTTGATTGATCGCAACTACTTGCTACTCCAAGATCAGTAAGTGCTAAGTTATTTGAGCGTGTAATATATAATTTTGAACATTAAGGAGGCTAATTGATATTAATTTTAATATTATTTAGGCTTGGCATGATATTATTTGTGTATTAAGCCACAAATTTAAGATTAATCTCATCACCAAAATTTAATTCTTTAATGCTATTAAATATCTTGAATTAATGGGAAATGTATTGTGGTTACAGTATTTCTATTATCTCATAGTTATATATAATTGCAATTGATAGATCTAATAGATGGGGTTTTTAATCAAAAGGCATGAGAAAAGTAAAATTTAGTTATTCATAATTATTAATTTTCTCATTAAATAACCTATATTGAATTCAAGGTCTAATTTAGGGAAATCATCATCAAGGTAAACAATAATTTAAGTAAATTTTTAAGTCTATTAAAATTTTGTAACAGTTACAGTCCATTATTAAACTGCAAAGGTAGAAATCGAATTCCTCTTTATGAATTAAAATGTAGCAGTCTTGTTGACATTTATGATTTTTTTTTGTGCATTTTAGCATGTACTATTCATTTCTAGATCTTTACAATCAACTTCAATAGACAAATCTGGATCAGCATTCCAATCAAATATTGTGTCTAAATCCTTACATTCTATTTAAAGTTTTAAATCTTTTCTTATAATTTAAATTCCTAGATTATTAAACTAACAAATAAATCCAGCAAATGGAATATCAAAGGTAAAATTTTAATATTGAGTTTGGTTAGTATTTATATTTGTAGCAGTCACTTAAAATGTATATGTTGAATTAGGGCTCAAAGTATATTATGGAATAGTTATATAGATCATTTCAAATGAAGTAGATTAACTTGAAGAATTTATTTATGAGGGAATTGATTTTTTTGGCTCTCTATCAATTTCATTCATTTAAATTTAATATTTAGAATTATCTTTTGAAATTGACTAATCTGAATTGCCAGCAGAAAACCCAATTGTAATTGGCTAATAAACAAAATAGGAAAGTTTTGCATTAATATTAATTTATGGAAGAATTCCTGAATGAGTGTATATAGTAAATTCTGTTTAAGAGTTGATATGGATGAAATTTTCATATGAGATCTTAAACTTTAGTTCTGCATCTTTTGGTAAAGTAAGTTTAGGTATTAATAATTATATTCTTACACAAAATTAATTTAATCGAAAAATTGGCTAAGAGTATTAGAACTATCTTCACCTGCCATCATTTGATAACTCCAAATAATATTATCTAATTTTCTATATCCATAGTTTTAAATTGATTTTAAATAAATTGAATTATCTGATAAAGGATTTAATTTATGTAAAGGCAGGTGATATTAAATTGATGGAGGAAGAGGGTTTATTGGCATTTGTAATATATCAAAGATAAATATTTTTAAAGTAGTTTCGCAATTAATTTGAGATAAGGCATTACTTTTAAAAAGGATTTATTCACCAACTTATATATTCGAGTGTTCACCTAATGAGATTAGTAATTCCTGATTATCTTCTGGGTTAAGGTAGCAAACAGAATTTTAACCAAAGCTTTATGCAGATTCTACTTCAAATATTTACAAAATTTATTGATTTGAATTTATGAACTGAAGCCCTTTGGATTTAAAGGGAAATCAAAATGAATAATAATTTAACTAAGGTCATCTGAGAAATATGCCTTAATAACTGCAACCTCACAAGCTAATTGTTTATTGGAAAAATATACTTGAACACCAAGGTGTACTATCATACGAAATTGAGTTTGGTGGAGGAATGCAATTCATATCTTGATCTAATAATCTATTTGCAAAACAAGATAAGCATCCATTAATATTACATTCTAAACAGGTAATATCACATTTTTAACAATCTTCATTTAATTAGTCATCAAAATATCCAAATTAACAAATGCATTAAGGCTCTTGAATTCTATTACCTTTACAAGTCTTGCAATTTAAAGGATCTAATTCACAAGTAGCACATTAAAATGCACATTCTATACAAAGTTTAGTAAATTATTACATGAGCATAAAGTTAATCCAATTTCAAAATATCCATCAATACATTTGCAATCTTTTTCAATTCTTCCTGGATTACAACTTAAACAGTTTGTTGGTTGCAATATACATGTATTGCATTGAGAAGCACAAACTTATTTTAAACAATAAAATTTACTTTAACAAATAAGTTACTCATCTTCATAATACCCATCCTTGCAATTACATGATGGTGGATTAAATCTTAATATATTCTAGCAGATTTGACAATTATTTTCTTCAATTTAACAGGTCTTACATCTAAAATTACAATTTTAGCATTGAAGTTAGATTCCATCATCAAAATAACCTTCTTTACAATTACATAAACCAGATATAGACATTCGATTTGAATTTAATTAGAAATTACAACTTAAACATTAGTCGTTAGAAGTTTTGCAAGTCTAACATTTAATATGACATTCTATTAATTTAATTATAAAAATTTACTTTAACAATTCTAATTCTCATCTGAATAAAATCCAAGAATACAAGGACATTTATGGATAATAGATTGATCAACTCTTTTAGAATTTGTAGAGAAAATGAGATTTTGGTTAGTAAATAAATTTGATATTAGATTTTTTCCATTAGACTGATGGCAAAAAAAGATTAAATTAGTTTAAAATCCAAAAAAAATTACGAAATCATTTGTATCACAACTGGTACAATATTCAGCAGAACCTTAACAGGTTAAACATTAATTTGAGCATTCTAATTATCATTTTAAAATGATTACTTGAACATATCTCTGTATTTGATTCATAATAACCAATCTTGCATAAACACTTTTCACCTGAATAATATCTGTGTTGTTCAATTTCATAACATGATAAACAGGATACCGCAGAAGATTAACAGGTCTTACAAATATTATTGCATTTTTAACACAATTCAATTCCTGCATCATAATANATCCAAATTAACAAATGCATTAAGGCTCTTGAATTCTATTACCTTTACAAGTCTTGCAATTTAAAGGATCTAATTCACAAGTAGCACATTAAAATGCACATTCTATATAAAGTTTAGTAAATTATTACATGAGCATAAAGTTAATCCAATTTCAAAATATCCATCAATACATTTGCAATCTTTTTCAATTCTTCCTGGATTACAACTTAAACAGTTTGTTGGTTGCAATATACATGTATTGCATTGAGAAGCACAAACTTATTTTAAACAATAAAATTTACTTTAACAAATAAGTTACTCATCTTCATAATACCCATCCTTGCAATTACATGATGGTGGATTAAATCTTAATATATTCTAGCAGATTTGACAATTATTTTCTTCAATTTAACAGGTCTTACATCTAAAATTACAATTTTAGCATTGAAGTTAGATTCCATCATCAAAATAACCTTCTTTACAATTACATAAACCAGATATAGACATTCGATTTGAATTTAATTAGAAATTACAACTTAAACATTAGTCGTTAGAAGTTTTGCAAGTCTAACATTTAATATGACATTCTATTAATTTAATTATAAAAATTTACTTTAACAATTCTAATTCTCATCTGAATAAAATCCAAGAATACAAGGACATTTATGGATAATAGATTGATCAACTCTTTTAGAATTTGTAGAGAAAATGAGATTTTGGTTAGTAAATAAATTTGATATTAGATTTTTTCCATTAGACTGATGGCAAAAAAAGATTAAATTAGTTTAAAATCCAAAAAAAATTACGAAATCATTTGTATCACAACTGGTACAATATTCAGCAGAACCTTAACAGGTTAAACATTAATTTGAGCATTCTAATTATCATTTTAAAATGATTACTTGAACATATCTCTGTATTTGATTCATAATAACCAATCTTGCATAAACACTTTTCACCTGAATAATATCTGTGTTGTTCAATTTCATAACATGATAAACAGGATACCGCAGAAGATTAACAGGTCTTACAAATATTATTGCATTTTTAACACAATTCAATTCCTGCATCATAATAACCATCCAAACACAAACATTGATTATATTTTAATATTCTTATGTATACACTTTAGCAAGTTAAACAATTAGTACTCACGTTTTAACAAGTACCACATGATAAATGACATACTAAAAAGGATTAAAGATATAAATACATTAACAATTTAATTGATTTGTTTCATAATATCCATCATTACATAAGCACTTCTTTTCATCTGCATCATAATGTCTGGTTGTCAATCTACATTATGTGCATTAGTTACTATTTTAACATTCTAGGCAGGTGATATTGCATTCTAATTATTTATTTATAATATTACATTCACATTATTTAGTTAAAGGATCAAAAAAATATGATTATGAGCATGCACATTTATTATTGACTAAAGATAAATTAAGACTAGAATCACAACTTGTACAATTATCATATAATAAAGAACAAGTCAAACATGAACTTGAACATTATTCGCAATTCAAAGTAACTGGATCTTCATAATATCCTTATCTACATTCACAAGTATTTCCAGAAGTAAATTATCTAAAATTTTCAATTGAACAAGTCAAACAGTAAGAATTAGAATTAGCACAAGTTAAACAAGTTATATTACATAATTTACATAATTTATCAACATTTGATTCATACATTCCTTCATTACAAATACATTCATTATTTTTCAAGTATCGAAATTATACACAAGAAGTACAATTATTTATTGATTAAGCACATGTTTTACAACTAGTATAGCATTTTTGACAAATTTCATTGATTTCAAGATAACCTTTTTAGCAATCGCAAGTTTAAGTTATTATATTAAGTTCTCTAAATTAAGTAGAATCGCATGATGTGCAGTTTTTTGATGAAATTTCACATGTAAAGCAATTAGAATTACATTATGGACAAATTTATAAGCCAACATCATAATATCCTTTCTGGCATTTACAATTGGTTTCTATTTTTCTTGTTTATGGACAAGATAAGCATTAATAAGATTGTTCAACACAACTTAAACATTAAATATCACATTTTAAACATGATATTTTAGAACCATCATCATAATATCCAAATAAACATATGCATTTATTATTATAAAATACTCTCTTTGAAGTATTCATTTCTATACACGAAATACAGGAATTAGAATCTCCAGAATTGCAAGCTAAACATGAGTAGTAACATTTTTAACAATCTTCAACTCCAATATCATAATATCCAATATTACAATCACAGGAAAAAAGAAGATCATTATAAATTCTGTTTGATTAAGTGGAACATAATTCACATTTTGTTTCAAGTTCATTGCATCTGAGACATTAATAATGGCATTCTTAAAATGATAAAAAAAATAATTACTTTAGCAAACTTCATTGAATCCATCATCATAATATCTTTGGATACATTGGCATTTATTAAAACCTGAAACAAGTTATCTGAAGCTATTATCAGGACAAGAAGTACAACTATCAGATAACTTCGAACAGCCTTTACATTGATAATTGCATCCTATGTATTAAAATCTATTAATACTTTAACAAACAGGCAATCCTACATCATAGTATCCTTCTTCACAGATACATGTATTTCCAACTTATAATCTGTGATCAGTATCTGCACAAGAATTACAATCTCCTTCTTCAAATCCTCCACAGGTACCACATGAATAATGACATTCTAATTATTATTCGAATTTATACTTTAACATTAAACCATCCCATTATATTCAAATGTACTTATTGCTCCTCCATTTAATTTAGTAATACATTTGCATTTACTTTCAACTAAATATCTATCACTATTGCATGAAGTACAATTTTCAAAATTGTTTATACATTCATAACATAGTGCACTGCAAGCTATATTTAGATATAATATTATTACTAGTGCATTCCTAAACTTCCATTTCAAAATAATGTGGTTAGCATTTGCATTCATTATTTTTTATTTCTCTATTAGCAACAGAATCACAAGAAAGACAATTATCTTGATCCTTCCCATCACAAGATTAACATTTGAAATGGCATCCTGCAAAATATATGATAATTACTTTAACAAGCAAATTCATTTTCTTTATCATAATACTCTCCTGGACAAAAACATCTCTTAATAGGATCGAATATACATAAAGAATTTAATGGGCAGCTCAAACATTTTTCTGATTGGTTTTCACATGTTTCACATTTATATGAACATTCTAATAAATTATTAAAAATTAGAATATTTACTTTTACACTAAGCAATTCCAGCCTCTTCATAATAACCATCAATACATTTGCAGAAATTACCTTTTAATACTCTAAAATTAAGTTCAAGAGAACAAACAATACAACTTTCTGAAATGTTATCAAAACATTAGTGACAAGAATAGTGGCATTCTAATGTTATTTAAGTATCATAATATCCAGCTGGGCATATGCAAGATGATAAGTCCATTTATCTATAATTTAAATCACATGTTAGACAATTTGATGAAAGTGGACCATTACATGTTAAACAATATTTATCACATTGTTGACATTCTTATGAAAATCCATCATCAAAAGTATTTTCATTAATACAAAGGCATTCAAATTAACTGCCTGATGAATTAGCTTTTCGGGTTGAAGGACATTATACACATGCATCTTTTTCAATAGAGTTTGCGCATGTTACACATGAATAATGGCACTCTATAAATCAAATCTAATATATTACTTTAGCATTCTATATTTTCTGTATTATCATCATAATATGATAATTTACATAAGCATTCTCCCGAAGGTGTCAATTCTCTAAAAGTGCTTTATTCACATTATATGCAATTAGTGGATTCAGTACCAATACAGATTCCACATGTATAATGACAAACTATGTATAATTTACGAAATTACTTATACAAATTTCTAAAGTACCATCAAGATCCCCAGAATTCACTTTACAATTACAATTAAAAGTATCTGAAACAACACGATTCTATCCAGTTATACATGTAAGACAATATTAATTTTAGGTTTCATCAGCTGCTTAAAAACATGTTTGACATTTTGGATGGCATTCTGAAATTAATTATAATTTATACTTCCACATTTTGATTGCTTATTAGCATAATCAGCATATCCATTTTTACATGGACAAGAATCAGTAATTTTAATTCTATTTGAAATACTTTCCTCTAGACATTCAGTACATTCTAAATTTGTTGGACCAAAACAATTTGGACAACTAATATCACAGGCTAAAATATGATTTAGTCAATATACGGAGACATATTTAATCTTCATTTTCAGGATCAAAATAACCAGATAAACAAGGGCATTGTTTATCGATGAGTATTCTATTTGATCCTTCTTTACATGAAATACATGAATAAAAATCCTCTAGTTCACATTCTTGACAATAACCCTCCTTACAAAGTGTGCATTTTCCTTCCTACAAACCAGAATTTGGTAAGCATTTGCAGATACCATTATCAGCTATTTGATTTACTGTGCTATCACAAGTGGTACAAAAATTTGGATCAGTGTCCAAACAAGTTGAACATTATAGTGCACATTAATAATATTAGCATGTGCCATTTGTTTGTAAAGCATATTGTGGAAGACAAGCTATACAATTAACACCAAATGTATCTAATAAGACACAACCTTATTTAATATAACTAATCTCTAAAAAATTGATAAATTCAATGTTACAAAAACAAAAGCTTATTTCTCTAATTAAATGTATCCTGGATCGCATAACTAACAATATACCTATGTATATTCCAAAGAATTACAAGATATTTATAATCATTCCAAGCGTCTCTTTTTTCAACTACTGATTATCTATCTTTGTTACAATTCCAATCATACTAATAACAATATGTGTAATATGCATCCTGCGCATAATTTCTTCCTAAAAAAAATCCTTCTTAACACTTATAACAACCCATTCCAGAAGTACCTTAATATGGATCTTAACAACGATAAATATAGGCTATAAAATATTTGTTAATATATTAACAATAAAAGCATTAAGATCCCGTGCCATAGTATCCTGATTTGCATCCAGGATTCCCAATTACATTTTATTATGTATCAAGATAACAAGATCGAAATCCCTAACAATCTATCAAATTGTAATATTTTATTTACCTAATGAACAACTAATATCATAATCATCTTTTCTTGAAAAACCTTCTCTACATTAATTACAATATCCTTATCCATTACAATCCAAACATTAACCATTACACCCTAGAATAATCATATTTGAATTACTTTAAACGGTTGAAGGAGTACCTACAGATTATTAATTATAACCTATCTAAACTTATTTACACTCATAATCAAAGAATGGAAATTTACAATATAGACATTTAATGAAACCTTATTATGCTACAACTATCAAACATCTCTAAAGATTTAAACCTGAATTTCTAAAATCTATTTAAAAATTAACAATTTTTACCTCCACAATAGTATTTATAAAATCCATCATATTGGAGTTCCATTACTAATGAGAAACCAAATTGATATCCGCAATGAACTGAATAGGTGTCTTTAGTTATAGCCCCTATTAGAAATGGTTGATATCTTGGATGGCATATATGTTAAGTTCCATTTGTTAAAGTTTTTATTACCACTGTTGTAACACCTTAGCAAACCGAAGCATAAGCTATTAATAGCACTTATAATTACAAACACATTAATGCGGATGCATACCAGGCACATATGTATGTAAATCAGGACACAATTCATAATCACTTCCAAATACACTGTAATAATTAGAGTATTCTTTTTATCCTATAACTGCTGAGAGGAATATTGTTCTAATCAACCAAAAAATCATATTTTAATTGTTGTTCACTAAATTTAAACAAATATTTATAAATAGAAAACAGTTTGGTCTTTTTTTCTATAAATAAATTCCAAATGCCGTTAAATTTAATATTATATAATATGGATTAGAAAAATCATTTCAAAAAATATCAATCTCCATTCTTATGATCAGTATGTTCTATTAAACAAAAAAACTGATGTTTCAATTTTTTTTAGAAATAAAATTTTTGAGAGCTTAATTAATTATAATTAAATAATTTATAATCTAGGACTAGGATACTCTTTAATTTTTCAAAGTCCTTTTCCAAAATTTCTTTAATTCTTAAAAATTTCCTCAATATAAAGTGAAAGTATAATAGATATGCTTATAACTATTACACAGATTTAAAACTTCCTTAAGAGTTTTGACCATGCTTTATTATTTTTCTTTTTGTTTCTTCACATACCTAAAATGATTAAATTAACCTTTTATGAATAACACTAAGGGTTTCAATAGTTTAAGAAGATAATATGAATAAATTGGATTTTAGTAAATCATTAATGTAATTAGAAAATTATCTTAATAATTAAGCAGCTCTTTTTTAATTAATAAGAAGTATCAGTTATGACGGAATAATTATTATTATAATTTGATAGAAATTAGATTTATTAAATAAGACTATTTGAATTAGACACTATAAACACTAGATTATTATCTTGATAAAATTAAATATCGTTCGTTCCATTAAGCATTTAATATTATATCCATCAAAGTCTTCTAATCTAGAAAAGATTCATTATTAATGAAGGAATACACAACCTCTAAGTTGATAATCCTTATACAAGCCTAATGTTGAATTATATACATTTTCTTCGTTGTAGTTTCAATTATAGTTTAGGCTGTTCTTGGAGACATAAATCTCATATAATTTTCTCAATCATAATTAGAATTCCACCTCTTAAATATTATTTTATTAAATAAATATTTAATTTTCACTATTTTGTCACATTTAGTACATAAAAAACATCTAAATAAAAATTAATTAATAAATAGCACCCATAAAATTTTATTACCATCATTACACTATTGTCCTTTTAAGATGAGACTATCACCAAAAATAGATGATCATAAATTACCTGAATTAACATAGAAACCTGATTCACATTTGCATTAATAGAAACCAATTTAGTCATTAAGATTGTTATGAACAGATATTACAATTCAATCATTAAATGAGTTTTATCAAAACATTCTTGATCAATTATTGTGTATAAATCTTCTTAAATAATCCTACATTGATAATCAATCATAGTATATTCTTTATAACATTGACTATGATAACATCCATTAATATAATTTCTAACTATATTTTCGTAAATAATTATTTTCCTGCATACATACATATCATATCTGAAACACATATCAATCAACAAAATCTCAAATTCATAATTCATATTCGTATTTACATAAATGCTTCAATAAAATGAAAACTTATTTTCTTTTTTTGCTCTTACAAATCCTCCAAAAGCTCATCTCCATAATTGGGCTTACAAATGGTTTGCTAATTAATTTTCATAACACCCTGTTTAAAATAACCCAAAATATTCAAATGATATCTATAAAGCTTCTATTGAAATATTTTTTAATAGTAATATATTTAGACAATTGATTATACCAAAAAGTTGGGTGTTTTATAATCTGGAGAAAATCCAAGATAATTTAAACACGAAAATATCTACTTCATTCTGATTGTCGTATTAAAATATTTAGTAATTTGATTTTAGCGTTGGTATATTTTTGTTTATAAAAAGAAATGAAACCTAAATAATATATTGTTATTGCGACTTATGACTAAATAATATCAAGAACTATTTATAATTTCTTCTTTACTTTATAGATTTAGAATAATATAACGAAATCATGTTATTCAATGACAAGCTTACAACTCTTTAAAATTAAAAAAAAAGTTACCCTAAATTTTCTGTAAGATTCATAATGCCTTTCTAATTTACTTACTGTCTATCGAAATTAAATTCCTATCTCGATACAAGAAGAGATCAGAATTATAAACATATTTTTATAATTAAGAGTTATTCTTACTCCTTCTTCAGAATTCAAAAGCTTCAAACAGTTTTCCTTTATTAATTCTCGATGCTCAAAATGAAATTATATTGATGAAAAATCTTTTTGAAAATATTTGAAGTATTGCTCCTTTTTATGGATGAGAGGGCAGTTTATTTATCAATATATTTTGATAAAAGGATTAGGAGCCAAGAGTTTGATCCTTTACAAACTCCTTTGACACATTGTTTCAGCTTTGGTCTCTAAAGCTACACTGCTCCCATAACTATAACAAAGACCAATGATTTTTCTGTAGTAAGAGCGTAACTCAAGTTTCAAATTTTAGAAAGTATCATGGAGAAAAAAGAAATAATTTTTAAGTTAGAAATGTTTGTGCATTTTATAATTTGGATTTTAAATTTCTAGGTTGAGAATTATTTTCTTAAAAATAAATTATTAATGGCTCTCTTCTAGGTTGAGGAAGATGTTGTTCAATTTATCCAGTAATTCAATTTTACAACAATTGTTTCTTTTTCTTAGCTAAAAGCTTTATCATTGGAAGAGCCTCTAAAGAGATGATAAATATGCTTTTAGGAGTTACTTGATAATTTTCCGTCATATATTTTAAGAGCTTAGAAACTATAATTAATGGAGTTGGCTCTNCTGGAGAAAATCCAAGATAATTTAAACACGAAAATATCTACTTCATTCTGATTGTCGTATTAAAATATTTAGTAATTTGATTTTAGCGTTGGTATATTTTTGTTTATAAAAAGAAATGAAACCTAAATAATATATTGTTATTGCGACTTATGACTAAATAATATCAAGAACTATTTATAATTTCTTCTTTACTTTATAGATTTAGAATAATATAACGAAATCATGTTATTCAATGACAAGCTTACAACTCTTTAAAATTAAAAAAAAAGTTACCCTAAATTTTCTGTAAGATTCATAATGCCTTTCTAATTTACTTACTGTCTATCGAAATTAAATTCCTATCTCGATACAAGAAGAGATCAGAATTATAAACATATTTTTATAATTAAGAGTTATTCTTACTCCTTCTTCAGAATTCAAAAGCTTCAAACAGTTTTCCTTTATTAATTCTCGATGCTCAAAATGAAATTATATTGATGAAAAATCTTTTTGAAAATATTTGAAGTATTGCTCCTTTTTATGGATGAGAGGGCAGTTTATTTATCAATATATTTTGATAAAAGGATTAGGAGCCAAGAGTTTGATCCTTTACAAACTCCTTTGACACATTGTTTCAGCTTTGGTCTCTAAAGCTACACTGCTCCCATAACTATAACAAAGACCAATGATTTTTCTGTAGTAAGAGCGTAACTCAAGTTTCAAATTTTAGAAAGTATCATGGAGAAAAAAGAAATAATTTTTAAGTTAGAAATGTTTGTGCATTTTATAATTTGGATTTTAAATTTCTAGGTTGAGAATTATTTTCTTAAAAATAAATTATTAATGGCTCTCTTCTAGGTTGAGGAAGATGTTGTTCAATTTATCCAGTAATTCAATTTTACAACAATTGTTTCTTTTTCTTAGCTAAAAGCTTTATCATTGGAAGAGCCTCTAAAGAGATGATAAATATGCTTTTAGGAGTTACTTGATAATTTTCCGTCATATATTTTAAGAGCTTAGAAACTATAATTAATGGAGTTGGCTCTTTTAAGAGTAACAAGCGTTTTGGGCTCTTTAATTACCATTTAAAATAGCAAGAAATCTAGTGAACTAAGAGAAAGAGGAAAATTGATAGAGCTCAAATTATTACCAATTTTTAGCATAAAATGAGCATCTATAATTAACTAAGGAGATTTAATTAATGATAAGAGCGAGTTTAAAAATATAAATACTGCAAAACATTCCTTGCTATTAAAAAAAATATAAGAGAATTTTAAAAGAAGTAATATTAGAGGAACACTGTTTGAAGCTCTTGAACTTTGAAGAAGGAGTAAGAAAAACTCTTAATTATAAAAATATATTTATAATTTTGATCTCTTCTTATTTGGAGATAGGATTTTAATTCCGATAGGCAGGAAGAGTCAAAATAATGGTTTTGGGGCTAATATTTTCAATAAATTTAATATTAATAATAATTATTGATTCCTCAAATCCATTCTTGAATTTGCTATTAATTGTTAAATCTCTATACTTTCAAATACAAACTAATTTATTTTATTATGATTGTTTTCGATATAACTTTCTGTCAATAAGTTGTTCTCCATGATAATTTTAATCTTTTGAAAAATCTATTTTATCTATGGTTTAATATTTATATACCTTATTTTACATTTTTCTAACATTTTTCTTAGAAAAGTATTGTTTTCTTTATAATTGATAAAATAACAATAAATTTAAATTTTGATTTAATTTTCAATATACAACTTCAATTAATATGCAGTCATTATTTTAGTACATATACAATATTCAAAAAAATAGATTAATTTAAATATTGTTGAAATAATTTTGTGTATTTCAACATCATATATATATAAATAAAATGTAAAAATTGTAAAGAAATTTGAATATTTAAAAAAAATAAATATATTAAGTTAATGAATATAAAAAAGATCTATTTGAAATTTTTTAATGAATTAAGGATATTGATGAAAAAATCTTGAGCCTAATACCTGAAATATAAAGAATAGAGAAAATTTAAATGTAAAGGATTACCTTCAACAAATTAAAAATCATTAGCATTTAGAATTATAAATCTATAAGTTTAAGGCAGTTAATGCTGACAATAATTATATTCAATAACTCACTAATGTTATCAACTAAATAGATGATCTTGTCTTTAATAAGAACAAAATACCTCAAAAGTCTACATTAATGTAAAATAAAATTTTATTAAGAAAATATCACAAGAATAGAAGATTATTAAATTTAATAAATTTCTAGTTCACCTCACAGCCATTAAAAACCTATTAATTTAATGAGTTTCAAAT